GGGCAAGACGACCTGATGGGTCCTTAAGCGACGATAACCAGCATAATGCGTGGTGGTCCGTTACTACATCAAAAGCACGGCCATAAAGGTATGGGCGGAACTTGACAAGCGCCCAAACGATCGCCAAGCATTCCTTCTCGGTGACGCTGTAGTTTGATTCAGCCTTGGTAAGAGTTCTGCTGGCGTAGGCGACGACATACTCGGCGAATCCAGGCTTGCGTTGCGCGAGAACCGCACCGAGGCCGACACCACTGGCGTCGGTGTGGACCTCAGTTGCTGCCGTAGGATCGTAGTGACGCAGTATTGGTGGCGAAGTGAGGAGACGACGAAGGGTACAGAAGGCTTGGTCACACTCAGAAGACCATGCCGAAATATCAGTGGTGCTGCCTATAAGTTCGGTCAAAGGCGCAATGATAGAGGCGAAGTTGCGCACGAACCGGCGAAACTAGGAGCATAACCCCACGAAGCTCCGTAACTGCTTCATAGTCGTTGGTTTGGGGAAGTCGGCGACAGCACGTAACTTAGCCGGGTCTGGAAGTATACCGTCCTTTGATACGACGTGCCCGAGAATCGTAAGTTGGCGAGCAGCGAAGTGACACTTCTTGAGGTTGAGTTGGAGCTGAGCATTCTTCAGGCACGTGAGGACGTGTTTGAGGCGCTCGAGATGTGTTCCAAAGTCTGGCGCAAAGACGACTATATCGTCGAGGTAGCAGAGACAGATTTGCCATTTCAAACCCCGAAGAACCGAGTCCATCATGCGCTCGAAGGTGGCAGGCGCATTGCAGAGGCCGAAGGGCATGACATTAACTCATACAGACCGTCCGGTGTCACGAAGGCTGTTTTTGGTCGATCGGCATCTGCAAGGGGGACCTGCCAGCACCCTGAGCGCAAATCTAATGATGAAAAAAAAAAACTCGGCACCTTGTAAAGTATCAAGGGCATCGTCAATCCTGGGTAAAGGATACACGTCTTTTCGAGTGATCTTATTTAGGCGCCGGTAATCCACGCAGAAGCGAACGGAACCATCCTTTTTTTAACGAGCACTACAGGTGATGCCCATGGACTTTGTGAAGGTTGAATGACGCCACGTTGCAGCATATCGTTCACCTGTTCGGTAATAACTTGGCGTTCCGTCACAGAAACACGATATGGTCGCTGTCGTAGTGGCGCATGGGAGCCGGTATCGATGTAATGTAGAGTGGTAGAAGTGCGGCCAAGTGAAGGTTGGACAACATCGAAAGATTCGCGGTACTGGTACAGCAGTTGGAGGAGTTCAGATCGTTCAGGTGGTGACAGTCCGTCTGCGATCGCCGAATCGAACACTTTTGAAGCCTGTAGATGAGAGTGGTTAAGAGCACTGACGGTGGCGAGGTCACTTTGGGATGATTCTTGCGGCACTGTAAAAATTTGTCCGTTATCAATGGGCTGTACGCATCCAAGAGACTCGCCTTTAAACAGTTTGATGGTATGCGGAAAGGGATTGGTAAGGCAGAGAGCACTGGCTCCATCAGAAATTGAGAGGGCTGAATAAGGGAGCAGAAGTGGTTTCCGACTTAGAAAGAGGCGTGATGGCTCGAAAAATGCTACTTCATCACGCATGCTGTCGGAGACCACAGGGAGCAAAACAGCTGTTGTCGGTGGAATGTCAGTGTCTTCTTGGACAACTAGCTTGTGCGCGGCTTGATTAGTGTGGTCGTAGGGCTGCTCGAAGAACGGAAGCAGTTCAAGTTCGGAACGGGCACAATCTATAACGGCACGATTACGGGATAGGAAATCCCAGCCAAGGATGACGTCATGAGAGCACGAGGAAAGGACGATAAACTCAACAATGTAGTGGTCCTCCGCAATTTTGAGTCGGGCAGTGCAGGCGGCTATAGGTCGAACAGGTTCTCCATTTGCTGCACGTAAGAACATATCAAGCGGCGTGGTCACCTTTCGGAGCTTGCGGCAAAGTTTGGCGTCTATAACAGACACAGCGGCACCGGTATCCACAAGAGCGTATGCATGGGCGCCGTCTACAAAAACTTCGACGATATTTGACGGCAAGGTGCGAGGACTTGAACATTTCGATAGCGCAGTTCTTGCCCCTTGAACTGCGACGGCTAGTTTCCCTCATTTTGAGGGGCTGGTCGTGGACGCATGGGTGACAAGGAGCGTCGATTGGGTGAAGGTGAGCGACGAGACGAAGTTGCCGGATAGTCACGGGAAGACGTGTTTGACTGACGATCCGAACTTTCATAACCAAAAGGTGGTCGGTCCATGTAATTGCTTCGTGGTCGGACGTCTGTGTAGGCGGGCACGCGACGACGGCAGTATCGGGAGATATGGCCAGGTCCGCCGCACGCAAAACAAATCGGCCGGTTATCGCGCGTTCGCCAGGCATTTGTAGCAAGGGGCGCCGCCCACGCGGCATACGGCTGAGTCGAGGCTGTGGTAGCGAGGGGAGGAGCCCATGCGACGGAAGACTGAGTAGGAGCGGTGACATGCGGCAGTCCATTGAACGGCGAGGGCTGGTGTGGCTGCTGCCTCTTTACTGCGTCAGCATAAGTAAGAGGCGCGGCGACGATTTGCTGCTGAAAGGGCACTGGCATAGCCTCGGCAATCTGGTCCTGAAGTGCATGTCGGAGCATGGGAGCTAACGGTGTCGGTGGTTGCTCTTGCTGCTGCTGCGGGAGCTCTTGGCGCTGACAAAACGGCAGGAGGGAAAGCTGACGTGCGACCTCCTCACGCACAAAGTCTTTCATTTGTGCTAGAAGGCGGGAGTGGTCAGGTACGACGTCCAGTGCAGCGAGTGGTTGGTTAGGCTGAAATGGACGACGGGTGAGAGCTCGTTGCCGTCACAATTCGTCGTAGTTCTGGCACAGAGTTACCACTTCAGACACCGTGCCAGGAGACTTCGCCAGGAGCATTTGAAAGACGTCGTCATCAACACCTTTCATAATGTGCTGGATCTTGGCACTTTCGCTCATTGCGGCATCGACGCGCTTGCAGAGATCGAGTATATCTTCGATGTAGGCGGTAAACGTTTCGCCAGGTTCTTGTGCCCATGAGCGCAGGCGTTGTTCGGCGCGCAACTTCCGCACGGCAGGGCGACCGAAAACCGAGGATATTGCCTGCTTGAAAGTGGCCCAGTCTCAAACTCGGATTCGTGGTTTGTATACCACAGTTTCGCCACATTAGCCAAGTAAAAGTTGACGGTGCTCAATTTAGCAGCGTCATCCCACCTGTTTGGTCCACTGACTTTTTCGTAGGACGACAGCCAGTCCTCGACGTCCTGGTCTTCGGCGCCCGAAAAGATCGGGGGGTCTCGCTGGTGAACCGGGCCGGGGCAAGTAGGAGCCGCGAGAGGTGCTGTCTGTTGGGCAGCGTCAACTTGCATGGTCGACGGCAGCGTGCGGGATCGGAGTTCCAGGGTGTAGGTGATGCAGTTACCCAGCACCTCCACCAAATGTAAAGGGGGTTTATTGAAGGACTGAGCAAGCGGGTGGTAGCTCTAAAGGAACGCAGGCAAACCCAGATGACGGTGCTTGATCGCCGATCTCGTGCCTTCTTCTTGTGCTGATGATAGCTGACCTGATGGTATCAACGTCTTTCTTATTCACTACATTATTATTATTATCGATTGTAAATGCACAAAAATTTGATGAAAGCGCACCTTTGTGCAGAACATTAACAAAGAAAAACGTGTTACCACTGAGGCTAAGCATAACAGGATCAGATAATGCGAATGCTGAGCTAGCCTTATGATTACCTTACGTTAAATAGAAATTTCACGCCTAAATAGTTATCTTTGGCGCAGAACAACGCTCTAGAGCTACGCAAGCAACTGTTTAAAGGCGTCGTAGCACTCCTTGCCAGAAAAGTGGTAGATACATGGAGGTGCAGGAAAAAAGCCTCGAATGGGAAAATGAAAAAGGAATGCTGTAATAACGGGATATAGATAGTTGTGAGCATACACTAGGAACGAGGTGCTTCAAGTTCTGTGGAAAAAAGTAATGGTTCCGGGGCTTGCGGGTTCCGGTTATTAGGTGGTGTGCATGTAGTTTGAACTGCAATCATGACTGGATGTGTGAATCAAAGAAATGTATTACGCCTCGCGTTGGACGCTCACGGGAAGACGATAAACGGAGAAGGTTTGAGGTGAGGAAAAGTCAGTGCGATATGAGGTTCGAGGGGAGGCTGAAGAATATGAAGGACAGTAGATGGGCAGAGAAGGTGCTCTGGTAGTTGTATACAAACAGCGTTGACACTCAGTGGAAAAAAGGAACTAAAAGACCCACCAGCAAGTAAGCGTACCACTGGCAGCGTAATTGATATGGTGAAAATGAGCGTTAAGTGAGAATTCAGAGAGCCGGAGATGACTCGTAGGATAGCAAGAATAAAAAAAAGTTGCTCTAAGTAACTACTAAAAGGGCAAAGACAAAATAGGTAGGGAGACATTTTGTGATATTTCAAGGGGAAATGCCGTACTGTTTGAAGCTAGGTCGGTTCACCTTAGAATGCGTAGTTAAAAAGCGAGGTTCAATATAACGAAGAAAAGTGCACATGTTTCGGGGAAGTTAAGGATACGATGGCACATGCTCCGATTGAATGTGGAGATATTCACATAGGTGTATGTTTAGGCCCGAGCCTATATAAAGCCTTGACTGAAGCGACGTGACGGTGTTTGACGTAGACGTGCTGTCGTCGCTGATTTAATGAAAGGATGACTCAGGGAGGAAGCGAGATGACGAAGTAGAGCGGCGGCCGTGGCTTCCAGCCAGCCAGAAGCACCCGAAGGCGCCACGCGCCACGAGCCACCAGCACTTGTCATCTTTTTCTCTAGCCGACTGGCCACCACTACCGCGACGCTACATGAGTTTTAGGGAGCACAATAGAAAGCTTAACACGTTTGCCATAGAAGTAAGAGACGTTAGAGTATTGGTGGCAGAAAACCCGACAGAGAGTGGAAAAATAAATAGTGTGAGAAATAAGCTCATTTTGACGTAAAGGGCAGACAATTGGGCAGTGAACTTGTGCTTATTTTTTTAGTAAGACCGATTTCATCGAAGTAGACAATACATTAGGTCAGTGTCTTCTTTATACTTTCAGTGCGTGGTAAACGCGCGAGAGAACAAAATAATCCTCCGTTGGTGCAACTGCAGCGTCGTGTTGCCAGGCGACACCACCCAAACATGGTGGCGCACTTGGCGGAGCTCGTTGTGAGATGCAGCCGGCGTCCGCCGGGCACCACGCTGAAAATAAAACAGATTTATCTTCAATTTTTTTTGCGCTCAAACCTCAAACAGCGGGTGCCTATTCTTTTCAAAGTATACACGCAGGGTTTATATCGCGAATACAATCGCTGAATGATGTTATCTAGTCTTTCAAAGCGCCAGATTTCGTGCGTTACCCGTAAGAGAAGAACAAGACGCCAAAAGAATACTAAATCATTGCGTTCGATAACCTACTTTCATTAGGTTCACTCGATAAATTCATGCAACCACGTGCCTGAATGCGTGAAAAACACCCATTCATCGCATTTATACAGACGTTGAGCTCGAACCAGCTTAAGTGTGCGACAAGTGGAGAAAGATGATTTCATTTAACTGCATTATTAGCTTATCGCTAGATGCAGGTGCTATCTAAGGAGTCATTGACGCCAATATTTTTTGGCGCAGCGTACGCAACACACCTCCGCTCAGACATGATTTCCAACATGCACTTTGCATGGTCGTTCTATGCGCTAGAAAATTAGCAAATATGAATCAATACGACCAGACATATTTAATGAAAAAAAAACAACGTTCAACACTTACATGTATCTGCACATTATAGCCGTGAAGCCCTTCAAGCTTCACATAATTTCTGGACAGAGGCTTTTTTACAGGAAGGAAAATTTTGGCTAGTTGGTAATAGTTCCTTTTTCAATAACTCACAGTGATAACTTTCGCTGTGAGTAATCGAAAAAAGAGGCTTCTTTGCGAAGCATTCGAAAACGTCGTTCTTGTCACTGAGAATAAAGATATAGTTCACCAGCAGTGGCTGCAAAAATCTAAACGATATTACCTCTATGAGCCGAACTCTGCGAATGTCATCACTGTCTTTGCACTTGAGCAAGTTTGAAGCAGATAGGGCTGGTACAGCACGCTTCACTATGGTCGACAGTGGCTTTGTGGCTTTAGCAGAGAGGGATTGTTTTTGAGGGCACGATCACCAAATGTTCTTAGCACGTCAACTGCAAACAGTAACTGGTCTGACGTGTAAAGCAGCCCACCTCGGTCCTGGCTGCAAGTGAACTATGCAACTTTCGCATTGCATGTGCTCCTTTATAACGTGGGCAATATAACCGCCAAGGTAAGCAGTTGCCGACATTCCAAGTGAAGGCAGCTGCAGTGGCAAAAGTGCCGTGCAGAGTCGTTGCAAAACACATGCTGCTCTGTAGGCGAAAAAGCTTCACTGTGCAGGGTATGTGCAGAAATTTGTGCACGTTCACTGTGAACGACATTTTATGTCACACTGGATGATGTATTTCCAGTTATCAAAACATTATCAAAGCCTGACAAAAAAGAGCGAACATTCATCATGTCATTACACCTGGAAGACATTCGCAACGTGTCAAACAGTGACTCTATTGGGTCACTGTAAAACTTGGAAGTGAGAGAAAACAGGAACTTCCCCTTTGTGAGTAGGTACTTGATGCCGTCAACTGCGGAATACATGGTCAGAAGCAATGCTTTCGACGTTTCTTTTGTCAAAAATTCTGTTCAATTTTTCGCAGCTGTTCATCCAAGTACATGGGCAGTGTTACCTCAAGCCGCTCAAGCCTCGCATCTTCGGTGCCGCAGAAGTGTTGAGTGTCAGGTCATTGTTTGTGGATGTGCTGGGTCGTATTACTTTTGTCATGCAACACAAACCAACGATACGTGTTTTGCATGAAAATGATAGTCTGGCCAGCATCTGTGAATGAGGCACTCAATGTGTGCCCAGCTTTGCCCCTGAGATGTTCCAACGCTGCTGTAACATCAGGCGACAGGACCTGAATGGCGCTTGCGACATTCATTTCTTTCTATCTTGTTCGGGTATAGATGATTTCGGCTGAGGTAGCGGACAGGCTTCACAGCCAGGTCCTTCTGTAGTTCTTAGAGCTTCTTGATGTAGCAAGATGACATCTCTCCTTTGGAGCCACAGTAATGAGCCGAAAACTGTGAGCGTACATTTTTTTTAAAACGTGACATGCCATGAATCGAAAAAAAAGCAGCCTGTCACAGTCACAGGGATGCTTAATCCTGTACGTAAGCAGACCATCTCAACAATTTCATAGCATTAACATTCATTTTGTGGTTGTCGCTGACTAAACGAATTACCCTTAAACCACGGGCCCCTCTTTTCTCAAGCACAAATATCAACAACTTGTGAAGCTATGAGCCTGTCAAGCCCATGGTAAAATAGTAGGCCACTGGTATGCGACACGTTGTCTAGAGCCCAGTGACCACAAAGCAGAGAAGACTGTTCACTAAGGTGATGCCACCACCCTGTGGTTCCAAGGAGACGTCTGCGTGTCCCACAAAGCAGTCCTGCTGTTTATTGTACTGCAGGTTTTCTTTTATCTTTGTTTCATCGACGATGAGCGAGCATACTCCTCAAGCTCTCGACTTCCACTCTAAGGCGAGCTTCGGCGAGTTTGCTGAATGCCGTTTCTCCTCTTGTGCTTCCAAAGTGTTTGCTCAAGGTCTTCCTACAAGGAAGTTTCAAAAGAGTTTTCCTACGGATGTGTTCATATGCTCTTGCAAACAGATGCCTCAAAGTTGCACAACGTCGGGTGGTCACCTCATACCAACTGGGCCTCTTCTTCCTGTAGTTCTGTATTTGATCACAAGAACAGAGCGGCAGGTTTCTTTTCTCTCGCCCTCTTCTTCATGTAATTAACGTCCGCCACCATGTCATCCTCGTGTTGCTTTTTCAATTCTGTCTTATACTTGTCGATGGTCTGCTACAGTCGAAACAACTGAATCATTCTTTTTTTTTTTCTTGACCACATCGCTTTTTCAGTAACAAGTACACTTGAACTGGACCTGCTGTTTACTTGCACGCTTTGATCACACGAGTGAGCTGCCATTGATGTTTCCGTGGAGCAGAAATCAGGCATATCCTCCACCGATGAAGTAGAAGCTGCTGCTGGCAGTAATTATTGGATCACTGGGCGGCTCGTGGAGTCATTTCGCACAGTTGTTGTACTCACTCTTTTGACGATGCTCATGGCTCATTCACACCGAAGGCGGCATGACCAAGCGGCCAAGCGGGATTTTTGAAGCGCCGAGGCGGCGAGTGCGTGAACCTGTTCAGACCGCATGCCTCCTTCGGCTGGCCGTGCGGCAGAAGAGGCAGGCATCTCGCGCTTTTGCACAAGTGTCGCTATGACGTGCCAGTGCTTCTTACAAGCGCACAACCGCGCCACCACCACGCTTCCACTGCGTGGCGTTCTGATTGGCTGCGGCAAAGCAGCAAGCCTCGGCAGGCGGCAATATATTGCCCCGAGAACGATCGGCCTTTTACCGCTTGGCTTTTCTCCCACTTTCGCCGCCTGGAGAGGAGGTTTTTCCCGCGCTCCGCGTTGCCGCCCCACAGCTTTGGCCGCCCCGCTTTCGGTGTGAACGAGCCTTCATCGCTACAGTATCTCCCGCCGGCGTTGACTTCGGCTGAAAATGCGACGGGTACTCTCCAAAAACTAGCGACACAGCCCCTTTCTTTAGGCATCGACGCTTGCCTTCTATGAGGTCTTCTTCGCTGAAACGCCTACTGCCCATTTTGGTGTAGAATTAGGTGGTATTAGGTGACCACTTGTCACGTCATATTGCAGCAAGCCATCGTGATCATACATCCCCGGGTCTTTCATGAAAAGATAGCCCTGCTGTTTTCTTTTTCTCGTCGAATTTACATAACAGCACACAACAGTAGGCAATCATGAGGCATGCTACGCACTTGTCGGCAACTGTCTCACAAAGCGAAGATGAACGTTGGACATGCTGAACGCAACAGCGTCTCGCGACCAATGTGCACTGGTACAGAATGGCGAATGGCGGCCCCGGCAGCCGAGACAGCCGATACCCTGTTTTTCCTTGCGCCCTCTAGCGGCGGCGGTGCAACAAAGCTTTTGACAGCCGGCACAGGTGGTGTGTCCAGCACAAATTTCTATAAAGGAGGCACTGACTAGGCCAACTAAGGACATTTGTTTGCTTGAACTTTTGGTCGATTCGGGAGGCGTACATGGCACCATCCCGCTATAAGGGGTATGCTCGTAGCCTCCATTCATTCATCCCCGCGCACCTATGGTTTCCACACGTTGATATATTTAATTGATTGATTGATTTGTGGGGTTTAACGTCCCGAAACCACCATTTGATTATGAGAGACGCCGTAGTGGAGGGCTCCGGAAATTTTGACCACCAGGGGTTCTTTAGCGTGCACCCAAATCTGAGTACACGGGCCTACAACATTTCCGCCTCCATCGGAAATGCAGCCGCCGCAGCCGGAAATCGAACCCGTGACCTGCGGGTCAGCAGCCGAGTACCTTAGCCACTAGACCACCGCGGCGGGGCGTTGATATATTTAATAAAGAGCGTTAGATAGAAGAACGATGGCGATGTTTGACGGTACTTTTTGTCTTTATTAGTTCTGAAAGAAAAAAAAAGCATTGAGTAAACTGTATAGAAAATAAACGAGTGTACAAAGAAGTTTGCTGCAGGGTTGAAGGCAGCAATGCCCAATTAGCACTGTGCGTTATTTCAGCGCAAGCCTTGAAATGGGGTGAATATTCGAAATTTGTTAACACAAGAAGCTAACCACTGTTCTATGGAGAAGTAGTTTGATAGCCCTAAATCAAAGCAATTATTAGTTCATGAAGTTAAACCGCACAGAAAATTTCCAATAGCGACAGATCTCTCATGACACTTTGAGACGTTACTCCACAGACTTCGACTAGAAGTAGCATATACAAACAGCTTGCTGCACAAAATGCACTGATACTGCAGCTCACCGAAATGCAACTATGGTCACGAAAATGAAAATGCGCGTATATTCTTTAAGAGTGCGCAAATTGTAGAAACAGGAAGATATAGGAGAAGACGACGAACAATTAGAACAGAAAGAAGACATATCATCATCCTATTGTTCACGTTCAACTCGTCGAATAAACGGTTCTAACCGTCGTGGCTCTTCGGTCTTTTGTCGCCGATATTCTGCCCCGATTTTTGCA